GAACTGTTAGCTTTGTTAGCTTTAGCTTCTAGCACTGTGTGTTTTAGCTTTAAGAAGTGAACTGTTAGCTTCGTTAGCTTTAGCTTCTAGCACTGTGTGTTTTAGCTTTAAGAAGTGAAACGTTAGCTTCAGCTTCCAGCACTGTGTGTTTTAGCTTTAAGAAGTGAACTGTTAGCTTTGTTAGCTTTAGCTTCCAGCACTGTGTGTTTTAGCTACCTGTCGATACGGGTCGGGGTCGCGTGTGTTCGACCCCGGCAGCCTTGGCTCGAATCCTGCTGCTGCCCAAGTGAAGGCCGGTGGCCCGCGGCAGGGTCGGCTGGCTCTCGTCTGCGGAGCGGCGGTGGCACGCGTCGACCTGCGGCGGGGGGCCGACGTGACAGCTGGAGGGACTCACGGGGACGAGGCTGGTCTGAGAGGACGAGAGACACTCGCTGTAGACAGAGGTGCAGGAGTTGGACCGGGAGCAGGACCCGCCGTCGCTGAGCTCGTAGAAACCTGGAGAGAGAAAGAGAGCGGGTTGAGTTACCTGCACCGGAGACAGCGTTGTTAGCTCCGMCCCCTACGCACCTGAACTGGGCCTGCTGTCGCTCTCCAGCTGCTCCGTGGAGGCCTTCTTCACGTCCAGCTTCAGCTCGTGGATCTGCTGGTCCAGCTGCTGCAGGTGAGTCTTCAGACCCATGTCTTGTTTCTGAAGACGGGACTAAAACAAAGAAAAACCATATAATTGTGTGCACATGTGAACAAAATGCACCAAATTCCTCCATTTAGATGTTTATAAAAACTATTTTCATTAGGATGAGGAAAGTTATCTTTAATAAAAGAAAAGCTCGTCTGTCCAGAAATCAAGATAAGGAGAGCGGCTCAGCTGTGGCTGATGATTAACCCCAGCAGGAAGCTGGGGGGGACTAATTTCTCCCCCACAGGGAGGGCTTGGCTCGGTGTAAACCAGCTCCATGATGGGGGTTGGGAGGAGAAAATGTTGCTTTACAGCCGGAGCAGGACATGAAGAGCTGCCGGTTATTTTTTAAATCATCTCCAGATGGTGAGAAATAAATCCAGCATTCTTTTAGTTTAGTTTATTCATTTAAAAATAAATCTAATTCAGTATAAAAAAATACAAATGAAAAATTAAATGAAAAAGCAGCAGAAGGAAGAAAAAAAATCTTGTAATACCTGCGCCTTTTTCCATCAAAAGAAAAAAAAAATTAAAATGTATTCATTTCATTTACAAACAAAAAAAAGGCCATACAACAAACAATAATAAAAAACTTTGCAGAAGTGCACCTCATCCTCCGCCTTCATTTTATTATATTTTCTTTTTTATTGTACATGTAACTTTGTGTTTATGGAATAAAGTTTGGAAAAAAAGACATTTTATTTGGCTGCGAGGACTGAAGAGCTCTGGAGGCCATCACGCTTCCTGTCAAAGATATTTTGCTAACAGACACGATTACATCATCCTCCTATTTAAACCCGATGTCTTCCTCGTGATGTTCTGGACCGGGTCACAGAAAACCCAACAGAACCAGCTGTCAGGGGGGCCGCTTCTCGTTCCAGTGTTTGTTTTTATTTCCTGGCATTTAGGAGTTAATGATTGAGGCCCGAAGCCCTCGTGCACTAAAAGGTGCACGCGCACGTGCACATAAAAACCCTGGATTTATGGCACYGCTTCCTACCCCCAGCTGAGCGGAGGAGGGGGTCCTGGTAATTATTGAAAAGTGGGTGAATGTGAGGATCAGCTGACGGGACGATTCAAATAAAGTTTTTACAAAAAAAAAAAAGCTTTTCCTGTGAAAAAACAACCTGACAGCTGAGGAACCTGTTTACAGAACACTAGCTAAAAGATGAAAGGAGCAAAACACGCTGAAAGCTAGCAAAAACTTCAATTATCATCATAGTAGCTAAAAGGCTTTATTAATAACTAAATGCTATCTGGAAGCTAAAGGTTTGAAAGATAGTAAAATGCTAGCAAAACTATCAAAACATTAACTAAAGCTAATAAAACCCTGGCTAAAATCTAAAAGTAGCAGAAAGATAGCTAAACTAACTATTGTGCTAGCTCAAAGTAGCAAAAGTTTATCTAGAAGCTGAAGGCAACAAAATGCAAGCTATATTAAAAATAGCAAAAGACTAGGTCAAGGTTACAAATTAAAAAAATGCTAACTAAAATGAGCAGCAATAAGGTAGCTAAATGTAGCAAAAGGCTTACAAACGTGTTGAAATGCCAGCTAAAAGTGTTTAAACACTAGCTGAAAGCCAAACAGAGATAAAAATTTAAAGCAACAAGGAGAAGGCTAAAACGGAGCAGAAATGCTAACTAAATAGTGTAGCTAAATGTAGCAAAATACCAGCTAAAAGTATAAAAATACCAGCTAAAACTAGCCATAGCAAAACATGTAAAAGTAAAAAAAGACTAGACAAAGGCTAAAAAGGAACACAAAGGCTAAAACACAAAGCTAAATGTTGCAAACGCTAGCAAACGTATCAAAATGCTAACTAAATGTATCAAAACACTAGCTAAATGCTAAATGTAGCAAACGCTAGCAAATGTATCAAAATGCTAACTAAATGTATCAAAACACTAGCTAAATGTATCAAAATGCTAACTAAATGTATCAAAACACTAGCTAAATGCAGCAAAAGGCTTACAAACGTGTTGAAATGCCAGCTAAAAGTGTTTAAACACTAGATAAAAGCCAAACAGAGATAAAAATTTAAAGTAACAAAAGGCTAGGTGAAGACTAAAACAGAGCAGAAATGCTAACTAAATAGTGTAGCTAAATGTAGCAAAATACCAGCTAAAAGTATGAAAATACCAGCTAAAACTAGCCATAGCAAAACATGTAAAAGTAAAAAATAGACTAGATAAAAGCTAAAAAGGAACACAACGGCTAAACTAAATATACTAAAATGGTAGCTAAATGTAGCAAATGTTAGCAAATGTATCAAAATGCTAACTAAATGTATCAAAACACTAGCTAAATGCTAAATGCAGCAAAAGGCTTACAAACGTGTTGAAATGCCAGCTAAAAGTGTTTAAACACTAGCTAAAAGCCAAACAGAGATAAAAATATAAAGTAACAAGAGGCTAGGTGAAGGCTAAAACAGAGCAGAAACGCTAACTAAATAGTGTAGCTAAATGTAGCAAAATACCAGCTAAAACTAGCCATAGCAAAACATGTAAAAGTAAAAAATAGACTAGATAAAGGCTAAAAAGGGACACAAAGGCTAAACTAAATATAATAATATGGTAGCTAAATGTAGCAAACGCTAGCAAATGTATCAAAATGCTAACTAAATTTATCAAAACACTAGCTAAATGCTAAATGTAGCAAACAATGCAAATGTAACAAAAGACTTGAAGGCTAAAAAGAAAAAAATGCTAATAAAATCTAAAATAAATCTAGCAGCATGTTTGCAAAAGGCTAGCAAATGTATCAAAACAACAGCTAAAAGTATTGAAACAGTAGCTAAAAGGAGCAAAAATAAGAAAAAGTAATAAAATACTTGATAAATGCTAAAAGGCACAAAAAGCTAACTAAATGTAGCAGTATGGTAACAAAAAGTAAATAAAAGAAATGCTGATAAATGTGTCAAAATGTCAGTTAAAAGTATCAAAACACTATGTAAAAGCTAATAGAAAAAGTTTAAAAAAGAGGCTACTTAATGTGTCTTAATACCAGCTAAAAGTAGCTAAATGGTAACATTTAAAAGTAGCTGAAGCAGATTTCAAAGATAAAGTTTTTAAAGGAATTAAGGAGCAGTTTTTGTAAGAAAAATAAAAAAGTTATAAAAGACTAAAACATTTTATACACAACTACATTAACACAAAGTATAAGTTWTATTGTGTAATCCACAGTAATTGTTGACTCTGCAGAATAAAAATAAAAATAAAAACTCACCAGCTGTTGCTTCAGGGAGGTCAGGGTCGCCTCCAGCCGCTGCTCCTCGGCCCCCATCACCACCACCCCCGGGTCCGACGGCACCGAGGACGCCGGCTCCTCCCGGTCCAGCCCCAGAGCCCAGCTCACCAGGTCGCCCTGCCGGTCCCTGAGCAGATGTAGCTCCTGCAGGCCGGCCAGGGCCGCCTGCAGCCGGTCCCCAACCCCGCCGCGGTCCGCTGCTGCCCCGGCCGCGGAGCTCGTCGACCCGGCGGAGGAGCTCCTTCTGCTCAGCATGTCTCCAGACTCACTCAATGCTCCCGAACCGGACCTGTGTGGARCCCAGACTACCTGCTGGAATCAAACCACAGAGCCGAGTGGAGACCTGGCTCCGCCCACAATCCAAACAGGCTCCTCCCCCTCCTCCTCAGAGGAACATCTGGTGTTAATCAGGCAGCTCATTCTGCTGGTTTTCCTCCGGACAGAACTGTGGAGAAACAGATTACTAAATAAATAAGGCTAAAAATTAATATTAAAATATGCTTAAATAATTATTTGTTAGCTTTTGTTCTGCACATAACAATACAAATAGGCAATTTATATCTAAGAATAAACTAACTTACTTACTTACTTACTTACTTACTTACTTACTTACTTACTTACTTACTTACTTACTTACTTACTTACTTACTTACTTACTTACTTACTTACTTACTTACTTACTTACTTACTTACTTACTTATTTATTTGTTCTGAAAACTGAACCAAACTACAAGAAAAAGACAGTTTGAGGCATTAGAGTTTAATACTTTGTATCTGTCGCCCCCTCGTGGCTGTAACGAGTTTTGCAGYAAGACTAATTCAGTTACAACACCTTTTCCATTTGACTCTGTTGTACTTTTTTACTCAAGTATTACTTTGAGGTTCTGTTCCGATGGCAGCCGGGGAGTCCCGACCGGACCTGCCTCCATCTGCGTTGAAAGCACCGGAGACGAAGTCCACCTGAGAGCACCTGACTCACAGGAAGATGAGGTGATGTGGAAACACTGACATCACTGTTTCAGGACATCCATGCTGGTTGTTCACTAGAGGGCAGTGTCACACTGGTCATGGATCAGAACCTGCATCACTGACGTCATATTTACACCAAGCACCTCTTGGAGAGATGGAGATCAGCTCATCTTATGAGTTAGAGATATTTTTATTAACAGTTATAAATTATTGCAAGATCTTATCTTAGCTCAGAACTTTTGTGTTTTGTGGCTTAGCTGTGGCGGCCATCTTGAATCCAGTGAAATCAGTGGTTCGTGAGATATTTTTAACACAGTTAAAGGCAACATTTTGCATTTATATTACACTGACTCTCAGCTACAACCACACCAAAGTTCAGTGTTGTGTAAAAGACCTCAAACTAATACTTGAGTAAAAGTATCTTTTCATGAATTACTTTGGTACCAGTTAAAGTCTCCTCCAAGAATATTACTTGAGTAAAAGTCTTAAAGTATCTGATTTTTTTGTACTTAAGTATTAAAAGTAAAAGAAYTGAGTAAAAATAAGCGGTTAGGTTGTCCAAAATGACATTTATTGGGATGTGAACTTTCCAAAAACACGTTTTTTCCTAAAGGTGTGCAGCTGTGATGGATTGTGTACAAGTTGGTGTCAGAATGGTAAATATTTATACTTCTCATCCAACCACAATCAAATTCACTCTTTCCAGGAGACACGATTTACCAGGATAATTTTTTAACAATAATGAGCCGAAATGACATAAAAGTAACRACAAAGTAAAAGTAAGAGAGTTTTACTCACTGGTGAGTTGTGGTGAGTAGCTGCCATCTTGATTTCTGAACTCTCCCACTTTCCAACTGGGAATTCCCACTCGAGGGGTGTTCCAGTTTAAATGAATGACTTGTAAGTGGGAAATTCCCACTTCCCATTACAACTGGGCCACAGCAAAAATAGTGAATTGGAGATTTTACACGGCAGATTTCGCTGGCTATTTTTGAACCCTGCGCAGCGCCACCTAGTGGTGGGAGGTCCTCACTTCAGAGGTAAAATAATCTGCGTGCATGATGGGAGATGTAGTTTATGGTCCTTTGGGCTTCAAATCAGCTGATTTTAGAACATCAATGCATCTTTGAAGCATTTTATGTGGGCCATATAAAGTCCTGTGGCGGGCCACATTTGGCCCACGGGCTTGCATTTGATCAATRTGGTATATGAGACATTTTACAGACAAACACACTTCCTGAATGCAGCTGATCTTCAAGCATGCAGATGTGATGTTTAGATGAAGGGCTGAATAATTTGTTTACCTGCTCCTGATTGGACGTCCTCGTCACTTTGATGGTGCGAACATTACGGCGTCGTGTCCCTGCGATGATGCTGGCTCACAGCACCTCATTGTCAGGCCAGGATGGCCCCTCTGCCCCCATCGTGTTCAAATGACTTCCTCCGGTGTGACATCAGCTGGAGCAGAGGGCTTCTCCACGTTTAACCCTTCATTTGGTTCTTTGTTTATCTCCAGACTTCATCTTTGTGCCTCTCTGTGTTTGTTCTTTTACACTTTATACATCAGCAGCAAACCAAACTCAAACAAACAAAAAAGATTATCCTGATCCATTTCAAACGGTGCAGTTTGTAATGTTTTACTTCAGTGGTTTTTAAGATGGATTTGTATGAAATTCTGAAATGCAGGTCTGCACTCAGTGTAAACAAAGCACTCAGCTGAATCCTCCAGAAACCCCTTGCATCATGCCTGAATGTGACAAACGTAAATACTCAGAGAAACCTGACTTTTAAACACTTTTAAGAAACTTTTGGTTCTTTCATCGGTCACCACTGATGATGGATTCAGTTGCAGATCATTTGGGAACTTCACAAATAACAGTCTTCAAAAACAAAACAAATATTCTCCTGATGGGGTGATGTGTTTCCTGTCGCTGGACCTTTGGTTTGCAGGAGAAACTCTTGGAAAAGTTTAGCTGAAGAGCAGGAGGCATTCACTAAATCCAATTTAACGTGTTTCCTGACACTTCGGCTGTTTCCGTAGGTAAACAAGTACATTAGTAGCTTTAACTCAGACAATCTTTGTTAATAAAAACAAAACGTACAGACAGAAGAATCCCACCAAACGTCTCAACCTGTAATCCTCAGAGATTAAAAATGAGTGTTGCTCAGGTGGATCCAGGTGGATCCTGACCAGAGCCACAAACACAACGTCAGCGAGGTAAACAGGAGCTGCTGTCATATGAGGGTTCGAGGAGTGGTCAAAATAACAAAAATAAAAATGTTGCTGACATGTTGGACTTCAAAAGGATGGAAATCTGACATCAGACAATGAGCGCAGATGGCTGCTGGAAGAGAAAGAAACATTTTGCAGGTTTGAAGTTTTTTTTCTTCTTCTGCAGACGTGTCGGGGGATTCCCATGCAGGCCCGTTATTTAAAAACGTTATCTTCCAAAAGAGCAATGTGGTTGTGATATTTTCCTTTTCGTGACAAAACTCCGCCCACACATCCCAGAAACTACCCTGTTTTGCCAAACTCCGTCCACACGAATAACTCCGTCAATCCCGATTAGGACAAACTCCGCCCACACTTCCCAGAAACTACCCTATTTTGCCAAACTCGGCCCACACCGAATAACTCCGTCAATCCCGATTAGGACAAATTCCGCCCACACACAATAATTCTGTCAATCCCAATTAGGGCAAACTCCGCCCACACCGAATAACTCCGTCAATCCCGATTAGGACAAACTCTGCCCACACCAAATAATTCTGTCAATCCGGATTAGGACAAACTCCGCCCACACTTCCCAGAAACTACCCTGTTTTTCCAAACTCGGCCCACACCGAATAACTTCGTCAATCCCGATTAGGACAAACTCCGCCCACACACAATAATTCTGTCAATCCCGATTAGGACAAACTCCGCCCACACAGCCCAGAAACACCCTGTTTTGTCAAACTCCGCCCACACCAAATAATTCTGTCAATCCCGATTAGGACAAACTCCTCCCACACGAATAACTCTGTCAATCCCGATTAGGACAAACTCC